AGTAAAAATGGCAATCCTGCCAAAAGCAATCTACAGATTCAATGCAATCTCCATTAAAATACCAGCACAATTCTTCACCGACCTTGAAAGAACAATAATCAATTTTGTATGGAAAAACAAAAGACCCAGGATAGTCAAAACAACCTTATTCAACAAAGCAACATCTGGAGGCATCATCCTTTCTTGACTTCAAGCTCTATTATAGAGCTATAGTCTAGAAAACAGCTTGGTATTGGCTGTTTTCTAGACCAATGGAATCAAATTGATATTAATCCATACATGTATGAACATCTGATCTTCGACAAAGAAGCTAAAAATATACAATGGAATAAAGAAAGCATCTTCAACAAATGGTGCTGGCATAACTGGAGGCTGGCATGTAGAAAAATACTGATAGATCCATGTCTATCGCCATGAACAAAACTTAAGTCCAAATGGATCAAAGACCTCAACATAAATCCAGCCATACTGAAACACTTAGAAGAGAAAGTGGGTGGTACCCTTGAATGAACTGGTCCCAGAGACCGCTTCCTGAACATAACACCAGTAGCACAGACATTGAGGTCAACAATTAATAAATGGGACCTCCTGAAACTGAGAAGCTTCTGTAAGGCAAAGGACACAGTCAGCAAGACAAAAAGGCAGCCCACAGAATGGGAAAAGTTATTCACTAAGCCCACATCTGACAGAGGGCTGATCTCCAAAATCTACAAAGAACTCAAGAAGCAAGTCTCCAAAACACCAAAGGATCCAATTAAAAAGTGGGCTACAGAACTAAATAGAGAATTCTCAGTAGAGAATAATGCTGCTATGAACATAGTGGAACTGATGTCCTTGTTGTATGAATGGGCATCTTTTGGATATATGCCTAAGACTAGAATTGCTGGGTCTTGTGGTAGGCTGATTCCCATTTTTCTGAGGAATCTCCATATTGATTTCCAAAGTTGGCACTCCCACCAGTAATGGAGGAGTGTTCCCTTTCTCCACAAACATGGTATGTACTCTCTCATATATGGATTTTAGACATAGATCTGGGGAGTGCCAGCATACAATCCCATGGCCAGAGAGTCTGGAAAACAGAACTTTCATCCAATGGCTGATGGTAGCAGAGGAAAACTCCCTCAGCTAAACACTGAGCTGAACTCAAGGAACCCAGTGACAGGGAGGGAGGATAGATGAGCAAAGGGGTTAAGACTGGGCTGGTTTAACCCTCAGAAACAACTGACCTGGCAAGAGTTAGCTCTTGAATCCCAGACTGATAGCTGGGAATCCAGCATGGGAGTGATCAAGACCCCCCAACCCCCCGAACGTGGGTGTCAGTGAGGAGGCCTAGGCAATCTATTGGGCCTTGGGTAGTAGATCAGTATTTATCTCTGGCATACAAATGCACTTTGGGTGTCCATCCAACAATGAGAGATGCACTCTCACCCTGGACTCTTGGGGGAGGGTCTAGGCCCTGCCCTGGATGAAATGACAGACTATGGACACCCCCATGGGGGGGCCTCACCCTCCTTGGGGAAATTAGGGGATATTGGGGGGTTGGTGGGAGGGCATGGGAGGAGGGAAGGGAAAGGGAGAGTAACCTGGGATTGACATGTGAAGCAACCTTGTTTCTAATTTAAATTTAAAAATAAAAAAAAACCAACCCTCCCAAAAAAAGAAAAACAATAATCGACTCTCTCTCTCTCTAAAGATATGTGTATTTGGGGCTGGAGAGATGTCTCGGAGGTGAAAAGCACTGAATGCACTTAACAGGCTGTTCTTCCAGAGGTCCTGAGTTCAATTCCCAGCAACCACATGGCTCACAACCAACTATACCGGGATATGATGCCCTCTTCAGGCAAAAGCTTATAGAGCACTCATATACATAAAATAAATAAGTAACTCTTAAAAATAAAAAAAACATGTGTGTAGTCAGGCAGTGGTGGCACATGCCTTTAATCCCAGCGCTCGGGAAGCAGAGGCAGGTGCATCTCTGTGAGTTCGAGACCAGCCTGGTCTACAAAGCTACACAGAGAAAACAAACCAAAAAAAAAAAAAAAAGTGTATTCTGGATAACAGTGCATATCAATGGAATAGTAGAATATGTAGCCTTTTGGACCCATCTCTTTTCACTTAGCATGCTTTCTCAGTTGATTAATATGATAGAGTATACAAACTGATTGTGACTAGGGAGATGACTCACTGGCTTAAGAGTATTTGCTGCATAAATATGAGGACCTATGTTCAAATTATTAGAATCCATGTAAAAAGTGAGTGTGGTCAGGTTATCTCCCTAACCCCAGCACTCAGGGGAAGAGAGTCAGAGACAGGAAGATCACTGTAGTTGGTTGGCTTAAATGAAGGGGCCTTATCTTTGTGTAATCATTTTCTTCCTTCCCTTTTTTGTTTTGTTTTGGTTTTTGAGACAGGGTTTCAAGGTTTTTCTATGTAGCCCTGGCTGTCTTGGAACTTGCTCTCTGTAGACAACGCTGGCCTTGTACTTAGAGATTCACCTGCCTCTTCCTCCTGAGTGCTGGGATTAAAGGCGTATGCCACTACCACCTGCTCATGTAATCATTTTCTTAAGTTTAATATAGAACTAAGTGTACAGTAAGTACTTAAAATAAATAATTGTTGGGTTAAGAATAGCCTATCTAAATATTATTGTTAAAGTTTTAACATAAAATACCAAATGAAAAACTATGAAAATTAAAATGAAAACAGCTCATTGATTTCATACATATATAAAACTCCTGTTTGGCTAAATATAAAGGTATGATTTATATTCATAATTCAGATTTTAGAATTGTTTTTAACTTGGTTGATTCAACAAAGCATACTAAGAAAAACATCTCCATAAAATGATTCAGCATTAGTCCTGATGATATAATCATCTTTGTCTAAGTAGTCTATGATAGCAACGTTGGCTGGCCCACTTAAAAACGTCTGTACACTTCCAAGTTTTTCATTATCTCTCAGTCACAGAATTTGACTGCAACTCTACTTACCCACATGTCTCAAGGGAAATTACACAGCAGCAACAAAATGACACAGCAGAATTCATTTTCAACCAGTTCAATAAATTCATAAATAGCTTATAATTTTCCTACATTATACAAATATGCCATCACATTCAACACCTTAAAATTCATCTACAAAATAAACATATTTTCTAATTTTATAAATAACATGTCAAGCCCAGGTTCTGGCGGTTAGATAAAAGCTGTATTCCTCAGCAAGTTGTGAAGCCTGCTCCCATCTACCAAAAGAACCATTTCCTTATCACTGGCAGAAAGGACAAATGGCTATCTGTGATATGTATTAGCATACCAAAGCACATGCTGGCCTCCAGCCTCCCTCAGTATCACAAATAACTGTCACACATTTCAGAATTCATGCTGGCATCCTGTCTCTTCCCCCCCACCCTCTTACCCTAAACTACTTCAGCTCATGGGCTTCCCTTCCTGCCCCACCTTCTCATTTCTCCTTATAACCCTGCTATTGTGGTTCTGGTCCCTCCCTCTCTGTTGTCTTCCTTTCTGGGTCTTTTCCTCTCACTCTCCCCTACCCTCTGTCTCCATTCAAGGCAGACACAGTCAGCTGGCCATATTCAGTCTACTACTTTCTCTCTCTGCTCTGGACTCTTCCAGATGCCTTTGGCTATTCTCTCCCTCATATCTACAATAAAAACCTTCCCCTCAACCATACCTTGGAAAGGTCATGTCACCAGTATTCACAACTGAATTTACTTTTTCATCTCATGGGAATTAATTTGCTACTGTTCTTCCTTTAAATGTGCAACATTTTGAGAATATAACTCAGTGCTTACCTACAATGTGAGGTCCTGGATTCAATGCCTATTACCACAAATCAAATAATATAAGCTCAATAACATTTAGCTAATATCAAACCACTATTAAGAGTTAATTAATTTAAAAAACAACATTTAATAAGCAAAAATATAGAACAAACAAAGGTCATTGTAAAATTTTTAGAGCACTTGCTGCTCTTCCAGAGAACACAAATTTGGTTCCCAGCACCCACATGGCAGCTCAAAGTCTTCTGTATCTCCAGATCCAGGGGATGAGACACACTCTGCTGGCCTTTGGCATGTAATAAGCATGTACATGAAGTATAGAAATACATATAAGCAAAACTACTATACATACAAAATAATAAAAATTAAAATATTAAAGTAAATCTTTAATAAAGTGTTTTTGAAGGTCAACATGGCCTGCGTGTTAGGAAAAGCCTAACAAGCTAAACCAAGTATGTTTCCATGCCTATATACTATCAAAAATGCACTTCTAGCTTCATATTTTTATAATTTGGTCACAGTAATTCAATTCATTCACCTTTTATATGAATGCCCTCTTGAACTTGTCCTACTTTCTCATGTGTATTTTGTAACATGTACCTAGGGCTACTATTACATGATACTAATCTGTGAAAAACAAGTACAACTGGGAGAGGATGGAACTACTGCCTATGTGTGAACGGTGAATGATAAGGGTGGCACTTGGTACATGAACATCATCTCTTAGACGTTTACCATCACATTGTCTCATCTTACCTGATTTTCCTCCAAGTGCTAGAGATGTTGATTTTTTATGCTGTTGTTATACATATTACATTGTATATTACATATTTTCTTTTTAAGAATTAGCTCATTTTTTCTAGAGCTCTATTTATTAGCCTATTTTTTGTATGTTCCCTAAATCATAAACCTTTCAAAAAATCAATGCATTTACTTTTTTATTTGGACAATTAACTTTTCTGTTTCTTTTCCTTATCTATCTACCTACCTACCTACCTACCTACCTACCTACCTATCTACCTACCTACCTACCTACCTATTTGTTCATTTATTTATTTTTGAGGCAGCAACATTTGTAGCCCAGGCTGACCTCAAACTTACTAAACCAAGGATGACCTTAAATTGATCATCTATCCTGCCTCCTCCTGGGAATTACAGGCATATCACTAACAATAAAGAGTCTAGTTTTGAGTAAACTTACCTCTTCTCGCCTTTCCTCTGCAGAAGGAGTTTTAAGTTCTCGTGCTGTATCGTCTTTGGGGTCAAAAAGATAGATGTAATCTGAAGAATAACTAACAAGAATCTCTTGGCCATCTTCACTGTAACACAGAGACGTCACTCTGCAGGATTTATTACTAAGATGAGAAGGGATAAAGCGAGCAACCATTCCAGTAGTTCCTCGACCTGCATAATTCCCTAATAGGAATTTATTCAAAATTAATACTCTTATAAATAAACATTTTAAAAACTCTTAGCCCGAATTATGAGATACATGAAATAATGTAGCAATATAAACTAAAATTATCACTTTCTGTATCTACAAGAGGTGATTTCCTTTTTATCAGCCAAGAATTTTTCTGTTATGTTTTGTTTTTTGTTTTTGTTTTTCGAGACAGGATTTCTCTGTAGCTTTGGAGCCTATTCTGGAACTCACTTTGTAGACCAAGCTGGCCTTGAACTCACAGAGATCTGACTGCCTCTGCCTCCTGAGCACTGGGACTAAAGACATACACCACCACCACCCTGCTTTAACAGTCAAGAATTTACAGCAAACAAAAAAGAATGCTATAAAGACAGCATATGTTCCAGTTCTGTTGCTATGACAAACACCAAAAGCAACTTAAGACAGAAAGGTTAAACTTGGATTATACTCTCAATCACAGTGCATCATTGAGGGCAGGAACTCAAGCACGACCAGAGGCAAGAACCATGGTGGAAAGCTGCTTACTCGCTTGCTTCTCCTGGCTTGCTCAGCTACCTTTCTTATACAGCCCAGGCCCACAAAGAGCCTACATCAATTAGCAATTAAGAAAATGGGGATAGCTATAGAGGGTTATGCACACGCCAATCTGACTAAGACAATTCCTCATTTGAGAGACCCTCTTCCCAAGTATGTCAAGCTGACACATACAGCATATTTAAACAAACAAAACAAACCACCTCATCATCATCATTCAGAATACATCATTTGCTGAAATAACATTTACTAATAGTTGATTTCTGCACTAAGTCATCTACAAACTTTTCATTCAAATAAAATCATTTCTATAATGGGAAACCTGACACTTCACAAAATAGGCTGAATACAATTCTAATTGTTTATTGGCTACTTATTTAATCATTCATTTATTTTAGAAATCATGTTTTTTGAACAAATACTACTACTTCAACCCTTTAAAATAAATAACCTCATTAATATAACTAATAGGTGCCAGGATATTAAAATCATTTCTTTGATTTCACACAGAACTCAGAATATTAATAGGTTTGGGATTCAGTATATTAAATTCAACACCAAGTTAGGATATAAAGATGAAATATATGTGATGCAAGAAAACCACTTCCTATGACAAATCATTTTCTTGCCATTAAAAAAATTTGAATTTTTTTATGTGTACGGGCGTTTTGTCCAGATGTATATCTTTGAACCATGTGTGTTCATTACCCACAGAAGCTGGAACAGGGCACTGGATCCACTAGGACTGGAATTACAAATGGTTGTTAACCACTATGTGGATGCTGGGAATCAAACCCGGGTCGTCTGGACTACTTAGCTATTTCTCTGGCCCTCTTGCATTCTTGAGAGAACATATTGTTGAAGATTTTAAGCACTGATTCTATTGAATGTACTAAGGTTTCTTCCTACAATCACCTAAGAATATCTAAATTAAAAATGTAAATAGCTACTACAAATAATGGCTCATGATATATGTAAGTACACTAAAAGATCTCAAGAGGGCTATGAATTCAAAGAGAATTTAACTTTTAAAAAATTTCTGATGACTCTTCTGGCCTCCAAGAAAAGGAAAAAAGTCTTATTCAATAAGCACGATTATTTTTTGTATTTTTTAAACACAGTTTTTAAAAATTATTTTTATTTTATATGAATTGGCGTTTTGCTTTCTGTGTGAGGTTCCCCTAGAACTGGAGTCACAGACAGTTGTGAGCTGCCATTTGGGTGCTGGGTATTGAACCCGGGTCCTCTGGAAGAACAGTCAGTGCTCTTAACCTCTCTCCATCTTAAGCCATCTCTCCAGCCCAAGCACCATTGTTTTAACTCTGGCTGTTACACAGGAACTTCTATAACCATGTTGAAGACAATATACAATTACTTTTGTTGTAGCTTTGCATGGTCTTTCTCTTCTAGGTTCCTCTATCAGGTATGGTTCATGCAGACTTCACTGCTCTCTGGTCCTTTACTAAATGCTCCCTAAAGTAGTTTGTAGGGTACAGAAGGTTGGCTCCCAGACACTAGAACCAGGAAGTCCAAGGTGTCTGGGCATACCAGGAATTCCTGCCACCTCTGGGAAGCCTTGATAGCCATCTGGTCCATTTCTCTCAATGCTAGCAGGGCCTCTGTCACCTGAGAGAAAAGCAGCTCAGAGGACCTTTTAGGAATTCTCCCAGAAGGGACACACTTGCTCTTTCCTTCCAAGTCGCTTTGCATGTTACAGCCATATTTGACAGATGAACTTTGTATCAGAAACACTTGAAGGTCTGAAAATCCCAAGCATGGGTAATGACTCACAGAAGCGGTTTCCCTGGAGTCCCTACCACTGCCACTGAAAATGCATTTACTGAGAAAGCAGCAGAAATTACATGCCGAGAACTGCTCCTCCCAAAACTCAACCTGCAGGACCCAAGGGAACTGCCAAGACTCACAACCTCACTCTCCAGCAGCCAAGTGCCAAGAACACTGAGGTTACAGAGACCAAGGCTGTCACTCACTCCTCCCCCACAAGCACACAGAAGCACAGAGAGCTGCTGGAGCCTGAAGGATCTGAAAAGTCACTTTTAAACCCATTTCATCATTTCATCTGTGTTCTTTTTTCTTATTGTCTGTATCCAACTTCCACTCTTGCACCTATGTCTCATAATTGTTTTACTTTTATTTGTAAATTATGTAGTTAGGTTTGAGGACTGTTGTCTATGTTTCTCCAATTAGTTTACTATGAGGCATTTTTGACCATACTATTTAGCTGCATCTCATATACTCCCCCCTCTTATTCTAAAATTGATTTACTTTTTGTGGTAGTGTGGATGAAACCCAGGAACATGCTAAGCCAGTACTTGACCACTAAGCTACATCTTTAGTGTTTGGCATTTTGAAAGCCTGTGATCTGTTTGCACAGTTGAGGCTGGCCTTGAACTCATGATTCACTTCTCTTGCATTGCCAGTTCTGAGATTATAAGCATTGACCACCATGTCTAGTTTATAATCTCAATTTTAATAACTCTGGTAGTCTTCAGTACAATTCAGTACAAGAGGAGAGAGTTCAATTGGCCCATGAATGCTAAATTCAAAGGCTTTCCAAAGATGTGTAATCCTGAATGGCTGAATCTTGTCCTGCTAAAAATATAAATTTTCTTGTTTCTATTGAAAGCAATAATTAAGCTTATAATTTCATATTATCATACCATTTCATCCAAAATGTGCATACTCAAATTAACAAGACTCCTCACCACAGTTCAAGAGAGGAAAGCTTTCAGAATATAAAAGCCTGAGGATGGGGAGGAGTGATGTGAAATGCTGTCTTGAATGTAATACTGCTACTGCACTCATGAACTCACAATTAGCTGTGGTTACCTGCACAGATAAGCCCACTGATAGTCTAACACTGATGTGAGAGTAGCACATGAGGCCCAACCTCCAGCTGAAGAGCTACTGGGAGTTAATGGTGCAAGGGAAGGGATGGAGTCACTGGCAAGTTGTCCATATCCAGTAAATTAGCCACATGTACGCTCATGCACGCAACTCTATTAAACTCAACAGGCCACTGAGGGAAAGTGACATGAACGTAGGAGGGGCAGTGTTGGAGCAGAAGGAGTGCAGAGAGTGGGAGGAGGAGAAAACAGAAGAATGGAGGAGGAATATGATCAAAATATATAAATGTGTGAAACTGTCAAACAATTAAAATTGATTAAAAACAAAACAGAGGGGCTGGAGAGATGGCTCAGCAGTTAAGAGCACTGACTGCTCTTCCAAAGAACCTGGGTTCAATTCCCAGCACCCACATGGAAGCTCACAACTGTCTGTAACTCCAAGATCTGACACCCTCACACAGAAATACATGCAGGCAAAACACCATGCACATAAAACAAAAATAAAATTAAAAAAAAAACAGAAAAGCTTTCATCTGGCATTCATTCCCATCTGATAACCTAGGTTGGTAATTACTGACACTGGTGGTTTCTACCTAAGTCCTTTAATTTCCAAAACATAATGTAGATATATATTTGATACTCATCTTTGCATATATGCACAAGTACATGTATACATGCATGATCTTTTTAATTGGACTTGGGTATTAAATAGTATGTAACATATATTTATATCTACTTAGCTTAGAATGCTATGACTATTGCTGCTGTGAATTTAAGTCTGATTTTGTAACTGCACAGGCAGCAAAGGAAACAGTCTAAAGAAAGACACTTATGTCTTTCTCTGTGGCTTTAATACCATTAAAACAATGGGTCTCAGAGAATTAAAATTCCCCCATGACCGTCAAGTTGGAGGCAGGAAAGGCTCTGGTGACAGCTAGAGGAAGAACATGACTTCCAGAAAGAGATTTTACATAGTTCTGCCTGAACTGTACACCCCTACTTCCTGGCTCTTATTTCAGTCTTTCTATAAAATTATAATACTGCTACAGAAAATGCAGAAAGAAAGTAGGAACCTTCTCTCCACAGTTTGGCTAAATTATAAATAAACCTACTTTCCTTTATATGTCTCCAATTACTGTCAAGAAATAGTGGGTTTATAAATTGAAGTACTCTCCTCACATTACCAAAAATTGGCAACAATTATGAGGAAAAAGAGGCACAGAACAGATGTTCCCTGCATCTCTACTAGAATTAACCCTAAGACATCTTGATTTCAGATAACTAAATTCTAGAAATTCAAGAAAACATATTTCTATTGTTTTAGGAGACTCACATTGAATAATTCATTATGGCATCCTTGGGAAAGAAACAAATCAAGTGTAATTTTTTTCAGATTTGTTTTATATGTATAAGTGCTTGCTTGAATGTGTATGTGTGTGGGGGGGGTGTGCCTGGGTGCAGGTACCAGGAGGTCAGAAAAACACACATCAGATTCTCTAGAGTGGGAGTTTCAGACAGTTGTGAGCCATCCTGTACAGTTGTGAGCTGCCTAACATGGGTGCAGGGAACCAAACTCAGGTTCTGTCTAAGAGTAGCAAATGCTCTTAACCACTGAAACATCTCCCCAGGATAAACTGTGAAAGCATCATCCCAATAGAGTCTGCTCTCTTTTTATTGAAACAAGGTCCTCAAACAGGTATGACCCTGAACTTCTGACCTTCCTGCCTCTAGCTATAGAGTGCTGGGACTACAGCCATGCAACACTATGCCTAATTTCCAACAGAACATTTAAAAATTAGTAAAATACTTTTTCTCTTAGAATAATCTATGTTATTTTATAACAAAATATAAAACTATGTAATGTAAATGTTATAAACATTTCTTTGAATGGTTCTAAATTTTGCCGAATATTTCCTCACCTGTAGCTCTTGTGCCCAGCATTCGTCGGTCATAAATCCGTACTGAGCTATCAGAACAACCCACAGCAAGGTAATATGGTACTGGGGGACAAATAGCCACAGATGTGGCAGCACGCCGGCAGTTGATTAATATATCCTACAAAAGACAGGCACGAGATCAGTTACATAGAGCTATGTAGAAGTGAATACTCTAAATTTAAAATATTTCCCTCTAACTATAAGGTAATAACCTATCTTAGACATTCTAATTCAGTGAGCAAGAACAAAAAGAGAAAACACAACAATGTGGTTTTCTTATAGTTTATTTTTTAAGACTGCTAGAATTTATTTCTATCATATTTAGTCCACAGGAAACCTCACATTATTCCTATCACATACAGTTACCAATTTCATAATCTGAACATCTTGGTAGTTAGGAATTATTCTTTAGTCACTGAATTTTCTTTATACTTTCTGACTACACAAATAATAAACTTTACTGAGGAAATAATTCTTTCACTTCTTAGCCCTTGTGTCATTATGAGGATGTCATTTAGAAAAGGACACCCACACCACCCTAAAGTGTGGACTAATACATGGTTTAAAAACATTTGGAATAATGACTTTTAGTACCCACCATTTGCTAAGAAACACATTTAGCAAATATTCTCAAAGAACCTGATATATGTACATAAAACATGTATATAACCTGCAACCTAGGACAGAATGAGGGGACTCCATGGAGGGAGGCCAGGGTCATTGCCCTTGCCCACAATAACCAGCATGAGCTTCCCTGTCAGAATATGGAAAGACAAAGCAATTATGTCAAGGTAAGGGCAAGTACTAAGGTGATGGGCTTTCTGCTACCTCTTCAAGCAGGATGACTCAAGGATTATGCTGTATAAGCAGAAAATGAAAAACAAGGAGAAACCAAGGAGCTTGGTTTCCCTCTTGCCCTTTACCTGTGCACCTGAAACCCTCACTGTTCAACTCTCTTGCCTTCTTGCCTGAATGCTTAGAACCAGTCCTGTCTGGTCCTTTTTCCTCCAGTAGTGCTCACAGGTCCCAGCACTGATAGTGTTTCTTGGCCTGAGTCTACAGAGCATCTCCAAGCCACTCCTCAGGGAGAGGGAGTTATTTCTCCCCAGTAGTTTTATTCCTGAGGGATATACTCCATAGTGTTAAAAATAGCTTTTAAAAGATTTGGGAAAATGTATATAAAACATGTATATGAAGATATATATACAACTTTTTCCTCAATACTAAGGTTCAAACACATATGGCATGCTAGCTACCACTGAGCTACATCCCTGGTCCCTAAACACCCAATATTTTAATTTTATCTTTCCATTCAGTGTATGAATGAGTTTATATGTTACATAAAAGAGATCACTATTTTGTGTTTAAAATGTCTGTTTCTATGCCAGTCAGTGGTGACAAATGTCTTTGATCCAAGCACTCGGGATGCAGAGGCAAGTGGATCACTGTGGTCTACACAGTGAGTTCTAGGACAACCAGGACTGTTTCACAGAGAAACCCTGTCTTGGAAAAGAAAAGTGAAACAGTGAACAATATTTATTTCATTACCTACTTCAATGATTCACTAAAGATCTATTATACTCTTCATAGAGGATGACAGATAAAACTCTTGGAAGAAGCTGTCTAGGGCCAAAAGACATTTTTCAGTCCTTTTTGTTGTGTGTGTGTTTTGTTTTGTTTTGATTCTGAGAGTGCTGAGTAAGTATGGGTGCAGTCGGAGGTCATCCTCAACTGCTCTATACCATATTTTTTGAAACAGTCTCTCACTAACCTGAAGTTCATCATTTCAGTTAGGGTGGCTGAGTAGTAAGCTCCAGTGATCTGCCTATAGGATTACAGATGCACACTGCCAAGCCAGCTTTTACCTGGGCTATCAGGTTTGAAACTCAGGTCCTTATGCTTTATGCTTTGCATATCAAGTGCTTTAAGGACTGAGTCATCTCTGAAACCCCTATAAATATACTTAAATGGACAACTGAAATAGAAGTTTCTCAACCCCATTAACATTGAAATTAAGGAATATTGTGATTAAAAATTTTAGCAAAATAAAATTATCAGCAAAGATATCTTATTGAATTATAATTAATTTTTCTAAATAAAACTGGGATGCTTACATCTTTGCAGTCTTCTTTTGTGCAACTAGTTTTGATGCGTGTGTCAAACCACCTAACGGTTCCATCTTCACCACAGGACAAAAAGGTGTAAGGGTCATTTGGTACAGTCATAATCTGAAGATGAAACAAAAGTACAAGAGACACTACTGAACAACTAAACAGGCGGCTTAGAAACACATTGCCACTGTTTGATAAATCCATGAAGGTAAATGCAACAAAACTATCCATGTAAGTAGTCATTATCTATGACTTACCCAAAGCATGATTTAAAAGAGAATACACAGACATACCAGCCCTGTAAAACAATTACTTTGAAATTATATTATATTAATAACTTCATATAAGATTTTCCAAAATCATAAACTTTGAATAACTAAACTTTGGAAATATGCTTAAATTATGACATTAAAGCAAAAAGAGTACGGTGAATTATCCATATGAAGCCAAAATAATTATAGGAGTCATTATGAGTCAAAGAGGGAGGCAAAAATTTATCTGTCAGAAACGATCACAAGATAATGGAAAAGGACAATCAGAAAGGAAAAAAAATGTTTTGAAGACTGTTGACTTAAAAGATGGAGGAAGGATCCCTGATTCAGAGCATGTATAAGGGTTATAGAAGTGGAAAAGATAAAACGGTAACGTTCACAGACCCAAAACACTTTTTTTTTTTTTTTGGTTTTTCGAGACAGGGTTTCTCTGTATTGTTTTGGAGGCTGTCGGTCCAGCCCAGCCTCGAACTCACAGAGATCCGCCTGCCTCTGCCTCCCGAGTGCTGGGATTAAAGGCGTGTGCCACCACCGCCCAGCGACCCAAAACACTTTTAATTTGAGTCTAGCAAGATTCATTTTAGCTGACTTTCAGAATTAACAGATTTTTAAAAATGTGTTGTTTAAAGCCAAACTCTAAAACTTCAAGTATTGGTATTTACTTTTATTGAACGTTTATAAACAACTCAAAATAATAAGACTTATACACCACAGAAAGGCAATTGTAAAAAGCACACTCAACACAAATGAAATGTGTTGATTATTATATCACCTCAATGAGGTAGCAGGGTGGAATTATTTACTTATAAAGTAATTTTATCAGTAAAACATATTTGCAAGTTGTTACTGATTCAGCTATGTTGATTTAATTCAATAATAGGGTCATTTTTTACTTTGCATATTACTGTCCACAAACCAAATGCTTAGGAAGTGTGTCACTGTGGGGGCAGGGTTTGAAGTCTCCTATCCTCAGGATACTGCCCAGCGTCACAGCTAACTTGCCGCTGCCTGTATGATACAGGACCATCAGCTACTTCTCCAGCACCATGTCTACCTGCACACCACCATGCTCCCTGCCATGAAGATAATGAACTGAACCTCTGAGCTGCAAGCAAGCTGTCCCAATTAATATTTTCCTTTATAAAAGTTGCCACAGTCATGGTGTCTCTTCACAGTAACAGAAACCCTAACCATGGGCGGTGGTGGCTCATGTCTTTAATCCCAGCCTTTAATCTTGGGAGGCAGAGACAGGTGGATCTCTGCGAGTTCAAGGCCAGCCTGGTCTACAGAGTGAATTACAGGACAGCCAAGGCTATATAGAGAAATCCTGTCTCAAAAAAACAAACAAAGCTAACCAAGACAAGTTATAAAACTCGGTCTCAGAAAAAATAACAAGCAGAAACAATAACAAAATTAGGGAGAATGGAAAACAAACTCTTTAGAATCAGCATTTTATGGTATGTAAAAAAGTTCAAGCCATACAGGCATGGTGACACACACCTTTAATCTCAGCACTGGGGAGATAAAGGTAGGCATACCTCAAGTTCCAGGCCAGCCTGGCCTACATACATAGCAAGTTCTAGTCTGGCTGAGACTGGACAGTTTAGCCAGGTGGGGATGGGGGAGTCATGTAGGTGTGGTTGCCTATGCCTATATACCCAGTACATGAGGCACAGAGGCAAAAGGACAAGGAATCCAAGGTCAGTCACAGCTAGACAGAAAACTTGAGATCAGGAAAGTTACATGAAACTGACTCAAAAACAATTAACAAAGCTGGGTGAGGGGAGTGGACAGGACAGGGATGGGGACAGGAGGTGGGGGAGGCTAGGCATGGTGATGCACACTTTTAATCACAGCACCTGGGGGACAGAAGCAGATGGATTTCTGTGAGTTCAGGGCCAGCTTGGTCTACAAAGTGAGTTTCATGCCTATAGGGGCTACAAGAGTAAGACCCTATTTCACAAAAGTTTTATTGTGTTACTGCCACACAAATAAACTTACACAGGGAGGATGACAGAAATGAATCTTCGTAAAGCAGTGAATTTCAGAGGACATACCTACTATAGGACCATGTAGTGCAATAACAGGAACATCTTAAAAGAGCTGGCACCTTCCATAATAAAACCCATTATCTAAAAATAAATAAATAAATGCACAAAGCAGGGGAAGGGCTACTACCTGTTTAAGGCATGGTTGTTTAAGCAACTGCTAATTCGCCTTACAATACTAATACTTGAATCTTACTTTTATAACTTTATCCACAAAATCAACCATGAAAAACTTTCAGAAGTGCTTTGGTGAAATACAATCTGCCAATAATTTTTATACCTAAAAATATAGATACACAAATACATCTATACACTTACACAGAAGCATGCATTTATACATGCAATCACAATATTGTATGTACCTCATAAGTAGTTCCATAATGGCACGTAAATTGGCACTGTCTGTTGGTTTCCGCATCTTGCTCGATATTAGTATAGAATATGACTCCATCTCCAGAGCAAGACACAATCTGCTTATCATCTGTGCACGGCAAAAATTTTGCACTAAATATATTTGCTCGATGCCCTGAACGGATTGTTGTCAAAACCTAGAACATACAAAAATGTAGTTCATAGCAAGTAATTTTTTTCCTAATGAGAAACATTCATGTTTAATATAATTGCTAATAGTAATAAATTCTCATTAACATTCTCAACAAAAGATTAGTGTTTGATTACAAACTATAAAAACATCAGAATCCCACATATTTTCTTTTGTTTTGAGATAATTATCACCAATTGTAGTATTTCCCTGAAAAGCAACTTCAGCACACTTCTTATTTAAATCATTTATTGTAGTTCAATGTTTTTCTCTGGTTCCCTGGACTGGTTTCTCTCCTGCTTGCAGATTCTCATAGCCACTTATGAAATAATCATTCAGAGGCTAATATTAGATATAATGGTTTGGCCAATAACGTAGGCTTATTACTGGCCATCTCTGTCTTATAAATTAACCTATTTTTAATAATCTCTGTATCACCACATGGCCCTGGCTTAACTGGTAATGTTCTGGCATCTTACCCCGTTGGCAATTATATGGCATCTCTCTGACTCTGCCTTCTTTCTCCAATTATGCTTGGATTTTCTGCCTAGCTATATTCTGCCCTGTTATAGGCCAAAACAGCTTTATTCAACAACCAACAAAAGCAACACATATTTGCAGCACACAAAAGGACATCCCACATCAATTTATCTCTCTCACTCATCAAGTCTTAATAACTAAGAAAGAATTATTTGGACTGACTTTTGAAACAGTATATACTAAATGATTAATTCATTTTCTTTCAAAACAAGAATCAAAATGACTCAAAATCAAATTTAAAAAATGGTAAGATGAGTATATAGCAGAAGTTATAACATCTAATTCATTATTGTGACAGAAATAAAGGTTAATATTAGTACTTGATATTGGAAATATACACTGCAGATCAAGAACTGGTTCCATTAGTACTTAAACATTGAGAGTAAAAATAACCTAGACCTAGAAAACAAAACAAAAAAATCCTGAACAGTCCAAAGATAAACAGACACCCTAAAAATTATGAAAAAATATACATTCACACCACAAGGACATTTGCTCAACTATGTTTATAGCAACATTATTTGTAATAGACAGATCTTGGAACAACCTAGATGCCTCTCAGCTGAAGAATGGATAAATAAAATGTGGTATATTTACACAATGGAGTACTACTCAACGGTACTCCAAAGGCAAATGGACAGAACTAGAAAAACATCCTAAGTGAGGTAACCCAAAACCAGAAAGACAGATACAGTATGTACTCACTCATAAGTGGATACCAGACATAAAGTAAAAGATACCCAGCCTATAATCCATAACCTCAGAGAAGCTCGATCCCTCTTCCAGAAACAGATGAAGCAGATGCAGAAATCTACAATGAACCATTGAGCCAAGCTCTTGGAGTACAATCGAAGTGAGGGACAAATGATAATATGAACAAAGGAGTCAAGACCATGATGGGGAAAACCACAGAATCTGCTGACCCAAGCTAGTGAGAGGGGTGGAGAGGTGCCTTGGTCTTGCCTCAAGGAGATGATGGGAGGATAAGGGAAGGCCTTATCCTCTCTGAGGAGCAGATGGGAGGTGAGTGGGGGATGGGGGGAAGCAGGAGGAGAGGAGAGAGGGGGAACTGGGATTAATAAAAAAGTACCAAAAAATATTCTATTACTGCAGCATACCCATGCTCAGCTCCCAGAACCCACCTGGTGGTTCACAACCATTTTTAACTCCAGTTCCAGGGGCTCCAACACCTTTTAACCTTTATGGACACCAAGTAAGCAGGAGGAGCACATACATACATGCAGGCCAAACACTCATACACATAAAACAAAATAATCTAAACTTTTTAAGTTTTATCCCTTAATATTAAATTAATGGTATAACTAAGTATATTAAATATGCTGAGAAGCTCATTAGAGTACTATCATCATCTACAAAAATTTTAATTATAAAAATCACTTTAAATTTTCTTCTAAATATTTAAAGTTAAAGTACTTGAGATATTCTTAAGTTGTGAGATATAGAATATGATAATATACAAGTTTGAACAAGGCTTTACTGAGAGATTCAAAGCCCAATACTTTTGGAAAACCATCAATCCAATTTAAATAATGTATGCTATTAATTCTGTTGTCAATATTTGCCCTTTGAAGTGCTCTTAAACATGAAAACAACAGTTTATAATTTGGAGATTGCTTTGCTTCACAAACAGTAAAAACTAAAATATCATGTGACCCAAAGGGGAGCACAGTTATTGCTGGTTTAGAGGCAGTCTTTCTTTTTTTATTTTAAGATTTATTTCTTTTATGTATATGGTGCTCTATCTGCACATACACCTACAGGCCAGAAGAGGATATCATATCCCATTATAGATGGCTATGAGTGACCATGTGGTTGCTGGGAATTGAACTCAGGACCCCTGGAAGAGCAACAAGTGCTCTTAACCACTGAGCCACCTCTTCAGCCTCTAGAGGCAGTCTGGATACTGTTACCCAGATTAGTCATGAATTTAAGATCCTTCTGCCTCTACCTCCTGGATGCTAGGATTGCAGGTCTGTGCCAGTATAAAGTTATTTCTAATACATTACAAATAAATAACAACAGTAAGGAAAATTCACTCATTCAAACACCTTAATGTTAATAAAAAGAAGGAACACAATGTCTTATTTTGTTCAAATAATGTTACTGAGATATCATTTGCCTATTAACCACTTGGGTAAAGTGAAGGATATTTGCATTGAATATGTAAATGAAAGCACATTGAAAACTTGGAAATACTGCAGCAGGGCACAGTGATACACCCTTTAATACCTCAGGAAAAAGAGGCAGGAGAATCTCTGTGGGTTTGAGGTCAGTCTGGTCAACATAGTCAGTTCCAGGCCAGCCAGAGAAACACAGAAAACTCCTGTCTCAAAAGCAAACAAACAAAAAAACCCAAACAAGCAAAAATTCTTACACATTCCAAAGGAAGCTACATTACCTACATGTAACAATGTCTAAATTATACAATTAACTTTAATAAAGAGGATATTCTACTACAAATGACTATCCTGTGATTATAATTTCCTCATTCCTAGCTTCCTTTATCATTAAATTATACATATATAACCACTTCACCTTTCTGCTGTACGGATTACTAATTACAAGTTTGGTGTCATCAGAGCCAGATAAAATATATTCTCCAGTGTCATTCCAACAGATTGTATTAACCTAAAAAGTAAACAAAAAAGAAACATAAGCAAACTGAATATAAAAAGAAGTAAGCCATCTTTCACTTACCTGTGTTAAAAATATACAACACTAGTAAAGGAGGGAAAGTTTACAGACTGAAAACCCAAACGTCAGTTCTTGATTCACATACAAGAGTCCTGGAAACCACTGTTATATCCTACAAGGCAGATACTGCAAAAATCAACCATTGTTCTTGGATCCTCCAGACAAACTACTACCACTATGACCAAAGACACCAGGCAGTCCTGATGAGCAGAGGGATTGAGACCTAGGTAGGAAACTGTGAATTACAACATGCCAAAGGTGTTAATAAAGTAGACAATACCTCAGAATGGGTGATCTAAAACAGAGAGGGATTCTAAGAAAGAATAAACAGTAAAGTAATGCTAGAGATCAGTAACAGTTTAACAGGAATGAAGAAGGCTTTGATAGGCTTCTTAGCATATTTGACATAGTTGAAAAAAATCTGACTTCAATGAAATATAGACACCTTAAAAACTACAAAGTCTGGGGTGAGATGGGGGAAGCCACTGGCATATCCAAAGACTGTGATACAAGCACAAAAAATATATAATCCATGTTTAATGGGAATACCAAAAGACTAAAGTGAGAAAGGGCAGAAACATTTGAAACAATAATGACAGACTGCCCTCAAATAGTATCAATCAGCAAACTACAGATTCAGGGTACTCAGAGAAAATTGACAAGAGCAAGTAACCACAGAGCTTCAAGAATGTAAAGAAAGTCCTGGAAAGAGGCCACACAAGGCTAATTAACTGATTAGAACTAAGTGATGTGGAGAGGCTGGAATGCTACAGGTCCCAAGACTGATTACAATTTATCTGGGGTTATCTTTAGCTCCCTTTATAGCCATTCCTTGCCTACCTGTGTCTGACCTAGCATCCTTGTGACTATCTGGTGAACCCTTGGAATGTACTAACTTAGCAGGCCATAAGCGTCTGTCAACCCAAGAGCTAAGAATTATCAGGTAACACCTAAAACCTGAGCCTCCTACCTGAAGCTTCCATTGATGTAATTTTTAGTATCTTTGTTCTGTTACTATAAAATTTTCAGAATAATTCATATCTGACTCCAGAATAAACTCCCTCTTGGGGTTTTGAAGTGAGAAGTGTGTTTGTTACATCAAAAATAACTGAGTGTTTTTCAAATTAAAGAAAATCAAAGATAAAACAATCCTGAAAGAATACAGAAGAGGTACCTTATCCACAGAGGATAAGATAATAAGATAATAATGTCACCGGTCTTCTCAGAAAATATATAAATAGGAAATGTAGGCTGATATAACGTGTGGAGAGAAAACATTCACAAAGAATTCTGTACTCCATAAAATCATCCTTTCAAAATTAAAGACTAAATAAAGACAGTCTCCCACAAACAAAAATTGAGAATTTTGGTTTCTAGGAGAACGGCCTTATAAGAAATATTAAGATTTTTAGAGAAAAGAAAACTACCAGGTCAAAACTTTGGATCTACATAAAGAAAATTCCACTCCTAGGTATCTATCAAAAAAGAATAAAAACAAACAAAAACTGTACACAAATGCTTCATGGAAACTTTGTAGTCCATAGTTAGAAATAATGCCCCCCAACAAGTGAAGAGTTGAATTATCATATACCCATATAATGAGCAGTCAGCAATAACAAATAACCACTGACATCCTCAACATAAATGAATCCCAAAATAATTATTCTAAGTAAAGAAGTTAAACATCAAAAAGAATGCAAGGCCAGAGGGACATAGCTCATGTTAGAGCATTTGTACAGCATGCACAGGGAGTTGAGCTTGATCCCTGGCATAAGAGGAAAGAGCAAAATGATTCTATTTATTAAAATGACACCACAATTAAAACTGATAACCCATTGTCAGCAAATCAGCCTAAAAATAAAAATGAAATTACAATGATAAAAAAAGACACCAACTAGGGTTAATTATGATCATGAGAAATGGCAGGATAAACTGATCTTAGTAGGTGATTGATAAACTAATTTGATACCTTCACCTATAAGTATATACATTTAAATTTACCAAAGTGCACATTTTAAATAAGAACACTTGCTTATGTTCCCCTGAAGGTGCCCAATATCATCTAAGTACAGTCAATTACACCAATAAACCTTTTTTAAATCTCTATAAAATTTTTAATACAAGTTAATGCACAAAAGTAATATAAAAACAGATTAATTTCACATCAGTCTTATCAACTATACTAGATGTTTGGATGCACATGTGTAGCCTATAAAATTACTGAATGAACATAAATAATCTCCAACTTAGAATTTTATGCCCACCCAAATCATAAATTAGGTGTGAAGGCAAAGAAAACAGGTTTTGAATTGTGAGACAGTTTACTTTCTTTTAAAAAAATTTGAGGACACAGTAAAACCTAAAAGAAGGTTAAAGATGGGAAGATATAGACAATACTGAATGTATTCACAACTAATATTTGGAAATCTTTTCTTTGGAAGAGACAAAAGATTTGGTCTTTGGTTCCTAAGGGGTATAAAACCTGGCATATAACAGTCTTTTGCCCTTGTCAGTGAACAATTCTTAAGTGTTCCACATGAACTAAGAATTCCTGAAGACTTATTTTCCTGGATATTTATTCATTTAGTAGAGTAGAATTCATTCATTCCTAGAGTAAAATCTATAAAGCGGTTTTCTGAGTCCAAATGTGCCAAGGCAAAAGGGGCAAGTATGTTGACTATGAATACTACAATGAAAAAAGCTAGCACCCACCAACTCCCCACAACCTCTACTTACTTTCTTTTTTTTTTCTGAGACAGGGTCTCACTATATAGCCCTGTCTGGCCTAGAACTCACTATGTGAGCCAGGCTGGCCTTGAACTCAAGAGATTCACCTGTCTTGGCTTCCCAAGGTACTAGAACTAGAACTGTATGTTACAATACCTTATCACCCCCACCCCCTCCTTTTTGTCTTTGTATTACAAGAAAGGGTTTCTTTGTGTAGCCCTGGACGTCCTGGAACTCACTCTGTAGACCAGGCCGACCTCAAACTCACAGAGATCTGCCTGCCCCTGCCTCCTGAGTGCTGGGATTAAAGGCATGCGCCACCACCTGCTATTTTCCCATATTTAAAGTCAGTTATAATCCATTCTAGGAAGATCAGGACATTTCACCAGACATTTAGACATATTATTAAAGTCATTTATAGTTAAGAATTAACCACTACTTACACAGCCATCATGCACATTTAAGGTTGCTTCAAGTTTTAATCTTTGGATAAATTCTCTTCTTCCTGTTTAAAAAGAAAATTCAGTAAATCATAAATCCACTGAAATTAAGAGCCTAGGACCTGTCACAATATGATTCAACCTCTAATTTCAGCTCTAACGTTTATAAACTGAATGATAATAGACAAATTAACACTCTAAAGTCTATTTCCTCATTAACATAACTAACTTACAAAAGGCAACATGGATCTAAGCCACTATAAATACTTGTTTCTCCAAATATTCTTTCAACAAATAAATAGTCAGTACTCACTGTTCCAGATAATGTTCTAGAAACTAGGCATACAGTGTTCCCTTGGGCAAGGGTAAAGACAATAAAAGGCATATCAGTTATGAACAAATTAAGTAGTAAAATAAAAGGCAAAGGGGATAAAAGAGAGTTGATCATGGGAATTAAGTTTTCCATTTTAAACAGGGTGGCAAACAGTAATAATAAGACACACCAGTATGTTTGTTTTTTTCTTGGTTTTTCAAGAGAGGGTTTCTCTGTATTGCTTTGGAGCCTGTCCTAGAACTCCCTCTGTAGACCAGGCTGGCCTCAAACTCACAGAGATCCACCTGCCTCCACCTCCCGAATGCTGGGATTAAAGGCGTGTGCCACCAACACCGGGCACCATTTTTTTTTAAGATTTATATGTTTTTATTACAGGTGCACAAGTGTTCTAACTGCAAGTATGTATGTACACTGTGTATAAGTGCTCTAACTGCTAAGACATTTCTTCAGTCCTCAATATTTTAAACTAATATATAATATAAAAAATAAAAGTAAATCAGCCTGAATGCTATTAAGAGCAAAACAGTTTAATATTGCAAAAATAGGTTGAGTTCCTTTTCTGAAAAACAAGAAATGAATCAACTTTACTAAAGATAGACCAGGGAGTGTGTTTACTCGGCAGCTGTGATGGAAGCTGGGTTTATAACAAAGAGCTGCAATTAACTGAATAATCAGGCTGACGAGTTATCAAAATTATACTAATTTCTACATTCTGTCATAAATGGCAAGTTTCTGTGTCACACTTTCTCCCTATTCAAAAAAAAAGGAGTTTAAAGTTAATTTGTTTGACTTCCTTCATATTTTTAAGTTGTATGATGGCTAGGTATAGTATAAGCATACAGAATTTTAAAATTAATTATGGGTGTTACCTAGGAGGAATTTGTTCTATAATTCCTAAATTTATTTAAAATTACAGAAATTCAGGAGTTAAATTGCATTGCTACCATTGCTACATTGTTCTTTGTACCACCCCCTTTCCTGCCTTGCCAGTAGTAGGAACTGAACCTAAGGGTCCCATGCATGCTAGGCAAGAGTGAGTATCTACCAGTAAGCTACAGTATAGACTATAATTAGGCCAAATTGCAGAATTCTTGTGCAATGTTACTTGGTCACATTTAATTTGTGATATGAATGGTGCTATAAAAAACTTTTATAACATAAAATTATATAGATATCAATATATGTTGGGACAATCTTTTTGTATACTGTGTCTTTCTTTGCCTGCCTAGGGTATGGTCTGATTGGTTTACTAAAAAGCTGAACGGTCAAAATCTAGACAGAAGAAGATGGGCAAGACTTCCGGAGAGAGATGAATTCTGGGAAATAAATTTGAGGCATTCGAGACTTGTCAGCCAGATGTGGAGAAGTTGGAAGTATGGTGCTGAGGGAGGGTAACGAGCCTTGTGGCAGAAAGTAGGTGAATATAAACTGGTTAATTTACATTTTAAGAGTTAGTTCAGAACACGCCCAAGCTAAGGCCAAGCTTTCATAATTAACAAAAAGTCTCCATGTCATTATTAGAGAGCTAGAGATATAAAGACCTATTACAGTTATAAATATTCAGTAATTAATTAGTCTTATTAACAAATATTTTATGATCCTGAGAATATGTGTATATTACATATATGAGATTCAGAATGGGGGAAAGGGTTGACTATAGATTTCCATCCATTTTAAAAATTATGTCATGAGGCCAAAATTACGTTTAAAATGTCTTTTTCAGGAAAAGAATGCTTAAGCTAAAGGATTAATTACATAAAAACCACTTAACTAAAAACAGGCTAGAAGTATTCGTAGAAACAGCTTTAGCTGTTTTGCTTCCAGACACCATATCCCTGTAAAAAGTCATGCTTGAGGTGAAGTTCTTCAGCTCCAGGAGAGCAACTGACCAGAATCCTGTACTAATGACTTAAAAACACTTTGCCTGTTTCATGCATTTCTGTTTTCTATGATGTTCTAAGTAATTATCTGTAGTGATATTTGTAAAATGTTTCCTTCATAATTGTCCTCGCTTCTTAAAAAAAATTCATCCTGCAAGCATGTTACAACTAAAAAAAAAACTTATTTTGACTAAGTACATCAATGGGATAGTTGTTACAGCAATCATAGCAGGTGTTAGAAAATATAAATTTAAAAACTTTTAAAAATTAAATTGGAATGTACTATTTTAAAAAAACTTCTGTATCTACAGAATGTATAATTTTAAAAGTATAAATTAATCTTGAGGTAGCATGTTTAAGGTGTAGCAGCCATTCAAAAACTGGTTTCTTAATATTTTCCTAAATATTAAGGTATTTAATGTAACCATTTCTATGCAATACAGATTGGCAAACAGAATATCTAGGTATTTAATTTCAAAGCCCACAACTATAAAGAGAAATTACTATGTTTATATGAGACTTTCATTTTTTAAAATGAAACAAATGTAACAAATACCAAAGACTGTGCAAAAGGTGTATGACATGAGTAAACATTGCTAATTGTTGTGTAGGGAAAAGTATCTGTTTTCTTCTTTTTGTTTGCTATGTCACATATATTGTAAAAATTAAGTAAGTGGCTCCATCAATGTAAATGTTTTGGTAAATATTATAACTGTGTCATGCTATTTTAAAGATTAAAAAGTAAGAAATTCAGGATTTGGGCTTGTTTGATTTTTGCTTGTGGGTTTTTTTGAGACAAGGTTTCTCTATGAATACGTCTGGTTGTCCTCAACTCATAGAGATCTGCCTGCCTCTGGCCCCAAGTGCTGGAATTAAAGTGGTGGACCATCACTGTCCCATCTGAAATTCAGTATTTTAATAAACCACATTGCTCCATTGCTTTTTTTTTAACTGCCTGCCCCACCCAATGTATACTGTACTAGATATTGAACCTACTGTGCCTCATGCATGCTAGGCAAGAAAAGCTTTTTAAAATTTTTCCTTTTGGCCAAAGGTAGGTTTGATAATCTTTCTGAATTAAAGTAATAAAGTGCTCAAATTAATAATTACAAGTATTTAGAAATCATTTTTTCCAAAAATTTAAATTCTGAATTTAAATGACTAGCTCTAGCCTTTCTGATCTAGACAAAATGGTGGTAGGTCATAAGAAAATAGAAAATAAAGTGAATTGTTCAGCAAGAGCCCTCACATAGGAAATATGTGCCCAAAAGCAGGAAGCAGAGCATGATAGTGCTAGATAAATAGCTGCTGAATGGTACTTTTGTTGTGACTACGGTGTCAGGTCCAGCTGATGTGACTGAGTCAATAACAATGGGCCCTGACACTATGGACAAAAACTGATGCTGTCATCTAGATAGCCCACAAAAGTGTGCTTTTAGAAACAAAACCCACCAGAAAATAAGCTTTAAGCTTAAAAACCTAAATTATATCAAACTGAAACAAACTCATGTTTGAACAGTATTAAAAATATACCTCCTTACAGATAGACCTTCTCCTCCCTCCTACTCCTGTCAGCCTCTGTAAGAGCCGGTGATCAAATCCTTGACCTTACACAGGTAGGCAAGCACTCTACCCTGGGCCACATCCCCAGTGCTACCACTTCCCAAGTCAGAGGGAAAGGGTTACAACACACAGAACACACAGCAGCTTTAGGTTCAGGGTGGTGTCCTTGTCTCCCAAACCCACCAATTATCTCAGAGAGGGCTGAGTGGATATTGTACGTGTAATAAATGGGTTTAAATCACAAGGAAGAATTGAGCTGAGGGCACTTTTTTTTCTTTTAATCGAGCAAAACTGATTGCCTCTGTAGAAAACCACTATCTTGGTAACACTGGACAAACAGCAACTGGCCTCAGCCTAAGGAGATCTGGCACCTCCCACACATGCTTGCTGTATTAACATGGCTGAAAAGATCATCCAGAACAAAGCAGTTCAATGTCTCTGCTCACAAGCATTGAGAAATGACAACGCCATCTAACAATTAGACACTTGTTACCATGACCTTGGTACTGAGGCTTCCTAAGCAAGCCTTCTGAACTCCATCCTTCCCCTTACAATTCTATTTTGATGTCCTACTTTATGCTATAAGCTCCATATGATGAATACTTGCTTATCCAAGTCCTATCACAGTGCCTAGCACAAAATGAATTAAGGTTTATTATTTATTGTGATTTATTTATGATGAACCATTCTATTCTAGCACCTGTACTTTCTCTCAGTAATAGACAATTAAAATAATAATAGAATATCTTTGTTGAACCATGGGTATAAAGACATAGCTCATTTTTTAAAAAAGATTTTTGTAAATTTCTGTGTATGCATGATTGAGTGTGGCTTTGTGCATATGAGTACAGTGCCCACAGAGGCCAGGCCAGAGCTTCCTGGAGCTTTAGAGCTACAGGCTGTTGTAAGCTACCTACATGGGCTTGGGAACTGAACTTGGGTCCTCTGCAAGAGCAGTATGCTCTTAACCTCTAAGCCAATTCTCTAGCTCCTACTGCCCATTTTTAATGGTTGTATAACTTTATTTTACGTGGGCTTACAAAAGACTTGTGCTTTTGGTAACAAAAGAGCCTATCCTCTAAGAACTTAACATTTTGCTGAATTTTTATTGGTCATCCTTTTCCATCATTTCCATTTCCATATATCAAGCATTCAGCTAGGGACTAGTACCTCCCTTATCACTTTGAGACAGGGTATTATTATGTTTCCTAGATTGGCCTTGAGCTACCAGTATCCCTACTTTAGCCACTCCAGCGCTAGGATTATATAAGTGATGCTTTCAAAATAC